AGGGGAGGAACCAAAAAGAAGAGCTTCTTAGGTAAAGGAAAGGAAAGGATAAAGAAATGAGTGAGTAGAGGGAAAAAACTCCTAATATGATAGAGAAGGTATTTTATAGCACTAGCAATGTGCCAGGTACTGGCTAACAAATGTAATATATTAAAATATTTTGAAGTTGTCAGACACAATGACATTAAATTCTAGAACCATTGAAGAAACAAAGCCAAATTGAGTATAAGACCAACCAAATAAAGAGATAAGAATCCCTGATAGAAATTGAAGAGGTATCTAACATCCGTAGAGAGATTTGACATCTGCAATGAGAAACTGATCATCAGGAAAAACAATACAGGACAAATACATAGAAAATCAGCTACATGGGGAAAGTAGTGGAAAATTTTAATGAAGTCAGCAATCAGTGGGAAATAAAATGATCAGACTGGTAGTTACATTGGTAGAAAGGGCAGACTATATGTATAAGTGAGAAAAAAGACAACTCAATTGGAAGAGGGCTTGAAAACTTTATAAGAAAAGATGATGAAACTAGAAGACTAAGCTTAGTGAGCTAATTCAAAAGTAATCAGATATTTGAAAAATTCGACAAAAGAGCATAACCACTATTTTTAAAGGAAGTGCGCAAGAAAACTTCCCAGAAGGAGAGAGAGAGAGAGAGAGAGAGAGAGAGAGAATAGATGAATAGATTAATCAAATTCAGTGAACAATATCAGAGAGAAAGATCAGATTTCACTCACCGAGATGCATTGTTGTCAAAACATTTCCAAGCCTTTCTATGAGAAAAAAGAAAAACTCAAGTGTTTGCCATGGAAATTAGTTCAGGAATCAATCTCAAGGTAATTCTTAATCAATGGCAGCCTGAGTGGGAACATTTGATATGCAAATTAACAGTGCATTTCAAGGTGACACTGAATCTTACAAAGAGGATTGTGCCTGGACCACGGCATCATCTCCTGGGCCAGTAGTAACCATGACAACTTTAACCCCAGCACATCCTGCAATTCCACTGCATAGGCAGTGGTAGGGGGTAAACAGTGTTGGTGGTAAGTTTAGTCAGATTTCTGGGGTTCAGCTTCTTCTTCTGTAAAATGAAGGAATTTGACCAGGGGTGGGGAGCCTGTGGTCTCGAGGCCACATGAGGCCTTCTAGGTCCTTGGGTGCGGCCTTTTGACTGAGTCCAAGTTTTACAGAACAAATCCTTTTATGAAGGGACTTCATTCTGTGAAGTTATTTAATAGCATTTAATATCCAGTCCAGTTCTAAATCTATGATCCTATGCCCTAAGTAAAGATGATCTTGGTTTCTTGTGTCTCCCCTGTGCCTCTGAAAAACTCAATTAACTTGTTGGAAGAAAGAAAAATATCTATCTGTAGATGTATAGAAACACATGTATATGTGTACACACACATGTGTATATATATACATATGAATGTATATATATATACACATAGACACATGCATGTATATATATATACATATGAATGTATATATATACACATAGACACATGCATGTATATATACACATATACACACGTATGGCAGTTAGGTGGTGCAGTGGATAGAGTGCTGGGCTGGAGTCAGGAAACTCATATTTGTGAGTTCAAATCTAGCCTCAGACATTTACGAGCTATGTGACTCTGGGCAAGTCACTTAACCTTGTTTGCTCAGTTTTCTCACCTGTAAAATGACCTAGAGAAGGAAATGGCAAAACACTCCAATAACTTTGCCAGGTAAACCCCAAATGGGACGAGACATGACTGAAAAATGACTGAGCGTGTGTGTGTGTGTGTGTGTGTGTGTGTGTGTGTGTGTGTGTGTGTGTATCTATGCATACTTATGCATCCACATTTTAGACTTTTAGAAACTTCATCAAGAACAGAGTTTGAAACCAAGAAATAAGTGACAAAGATTCAGAGAAGATAGGAAAATAGATGGCACAAAATGACAGACTTTACAATAGAGACATAGAATACCCTCAAGCTTGAGTTGTGGACTTAAAATTGTATTTGAGATAGCTTATTGATTTACTAAGTTTAGTTACCTGGTTTTGTCTTTCAGAATCCAGGTTTACCAGAGCATTTGTGCTAAGCATAACCTTATGCTAAGTTACTTTAAATTAGGTAACAGTCTAGCATTGAATGTTTTTTTTTAACATCAATGTAATTGTATGACTTTCTAGTGCAGACAGTAATTTGTACTCAACTTACAAAGTCTTAGTGAGTTAGTTTCATTTAGGTCTTTAGGGTCTGCATTAATGAAACTCTAACCCTAATCCTTAGAGTGTGAGCTCCACAAAAGGCATAAATACACATTTCCTTGTACATCTTTGCCTAAAGAGAATTTTTTTTACCAGCTTATAAGTTAGTGATTATTTGGATCTACAAGTCAGTTATTTCATTTAAGATTTGAAAAGGGAAATTCCATCAGCATTTCATCTATATATGGCATCTGATGATGTTAACAATTCAGAGTGCAATCTGATATTTCTTTTACACAGATCACTATCTACAGTTCTGTTTTCTTTTGGGCAAGAAACAGAGACAACCTCTTGGAATTGGGCAACAATTAAGATCGTTGTTGACTGGCCTGTGACTTCTAGCTGGAGATTAACCAACTTCCTAAAACATAGAACTGAACAAAGTAAATAATAATGCTGAAATATTTCAAGAAGTCTTGGGTTAGAGCATTTTGGATTTGATGCCTTTATAGTTGGCTTTGCCATCTGTTGGCTATCTGGAAACATCCTACTTTCATCTGCTCCTAAGGGCAATTTTAGAGCTTTTAAGTATGTTTCTTGAAGTTGAACTAGATGAGTTTGAAATATATCCTAGCACTAAATCCATCATCCTACAGTATACTCTTATGAAGTCCTTTGAACCAGGCTAAAGAAACAGCCCCACATTCCACAAATGCATAAAGCAGCAAATATTGCTGTCTACATTTATTTTACCAATGCTAGTGAACATTGCCTGTTGTGACTTCCCATGTCTCTAGGCCAAAATTTGCAAAATGACCTATAGTCGTTTAAAGACCCAGGTCACACACTAACACAAAGTCTTGTAAAACAAAAATAAAAGTTAGACCTTAGCAAGTCCTAACAGCCCTTTTGTGTAGACATTGTCCAGGATGTTAATACTCATACCCAATTTTATGTCTCAGTCCTTGCCCACCTGATATCATTTTAACTGCTTGACAATTTTCCACTGTAGAGACCTCTGTGCCTCATCCTTCAGGGTTTTGAGGGTGACAAGATTGGGGGGAGACAGCCTAGAGTCTTAGAATGCCAATGATCCATTTTACTGATACAAAACCAAAAATAACCAGGCAGCCTCTTTGATATGTGAACATGGCCTCAACCACCAGCTAGGATGGAACTATGTTTTTCATTGTAGGTCATTAAATGCCTTACTCAATATCTTCTGCAAGCCAGTGACAGAGTAAGTCAATCCATGCTCTTTCCACTGGGAGACATTTTCTTAATATATGCTGTTTTTGACTTATGTAAGCTGTAAGTAAACATGATTTGTAGTCAACAAATCAAGGTTTTATTTATACCTTTATTGTGAAAGATATAATTTGTTGGTTTAAGTCAGACGTTCTGTTCCAAATGTCAATGTCTGAAATTATGTGAGGTTCCCTTATAAAATGCAAGATGTGTGAAATTCAGTCATACTTCTGGAAATTCAAACATTTTCACCTGCACGTCAATGAAAGAAGATCATTTAACTTGAGAACTAACAAATGATTATTCCTAAAAAGCGAAGTAAAACCTAGTGGGTGACTGAATTTTTATACCCTCAGCAAATATTTGTGTATTTGATCTTTAACATGTACACATATGCTCCTAATCAGTTCTCTTAAAGCAATAGTGAAATATTCCATATATACCCACACCAGAAGTAGGTTCTAATGGGAATGTAGAGGTGTCCTATGTATCCTTAAGTACAGGATAGAGAATAGTACACGTAGAGAATTACCTTTCTAGAGAATCCATATTGGATCACTACACTGTTCATTGACACCAAGTAAGGAGAATATATCTTTCTTTGCTCTTATTGGAAGCATTTTCTTTTCTTTTTTTCCTGGCAACTATGCAGAATGTCACCATGTATAGGAATCTTCGATTCTAAGGACAGTATGACAGGGCGAGTAATGATAATGCAATGTTGAAATTTCCGTCAGGAAAATGTAGGTTTGGATCCCATGTCTGACACTATTCCCTGTGACTGGGGCAAGTGACTTACCCTCTATGAGCCCAAGTTTTCTCATATGTGCAACCATTTGTTGGAAAGAACCATTCTTTGGCCTTTTTTGTATCTGTAACACTTAGAAAAGTACCTGGCACATATTAGTTGATTAATAAATGTTTGTTGACTTAATTTGATTTATTGTAAGGTTCACATAAGATAAGGGCTATCACTTACTACCTGTGTGACTTTGAGCAGATCAGCTAATTTCTCTGAGCTTATTTCTCAGTCTGCAAAATAAATAGGTTGGAATGGATGATCTCTTGTGTTCCTTCCAGATCTAAAACTATGATCCTATATATGTAAAGTATTTTATTGGTGTCTCTACAAATATTGGCAACAGTTACTTATTTATGTTTTTGTTAACATTATATTGGCATAGCTACCCAGGGAAGGTAGAGGGAATGGGGAAGAAGAGAATTGAACCAGTTCCTTATCAGGGGGAAGAAGAAAATAAAGTACATTCATTTAGTACCATTTGGGGGCCTACTTTATATTCTCATTTTTACAGTGTGGTAACCAGTCTGTGAGACATATCTAAGCCATTGTAGAACATACAAGAAGTGAGAGATGAGTGGATAATCAATAGGATTAGTCTTGTAGGACTGGTATACCCCATATCCATCTTTGTGTTTAAAGCTACTCACAGATTGAGAGGGATGTTTTTGAAAGTAGAAGAATTTGTGTTTTATCACCACAACTATTGCCTTATAAAAGAGGTGGCAAAATGGAGAAATCATTTCCTACCTTGATAAATACTGCCCTGAAGTGAGATTGGTGACTCCCTCATCCATGCAGTTCATGGTACTGGGAATGAGTGCAAGTTCTGGCTGGATCATGGTGGCTGTAGCAATGGCCCTTGCTACCAGTTCCATTGCATCCTGCACATAATATTCAAAGATAGACTGGGTGGTCTTGCCATGAGCAATGAGGCCCAGAGGCAGACCTTCTGTCCTCAGTTCTTCCACATTCTGGGAATCCCCAAGAACCCAGTGGAGCTCCAGAAGCATTCCTCCAAACTGGGTGGTGATTTCAAAAATCCTCCGGATGCTTTCCATGTCACAGCCAAACATCACCATGGTGGGTGTGGTGTCCTTAATGCTCTCAAGCTGGACTTGCAAGAAGCTCAGTAGATCTTGCCTCGAGGAGAGGTTGGCGGTGATATTGATAATGGATCCCAGGTGGAACTTGGCACTCTGCTGGGTGAGGAAGAGGAAGTCCGTGATGTTCCAATCTTCCTGGCATAGCAGCAAGCTGAAATTGTACCAGTTGTTCATGGTCAGGATTGAGACAGTGACATCAGCATCAGAACTTAATGAATTTTCTAAACTCAGCTGTAGGTGAAGGGGATTCTGTATTTAAAAATATGAAAAAGAAGAATTAGAAAGCTTCAGTGGCTTCCTGTAGCCTACTGAATCATGTCCAAATTCCCTAACTTGGCATCCAAAGTCCTTCACGGTCTGACTCCATCCTACTGCTCCAGCCTTATCTCCCACTGGCCAATCTGGATTATTTGCCATCTCCCAAATACATCCTGCACTCACCTACCTCTCTGTCTGCTCACCTCTGAAACCCTCCATATCATCTCTGCCTGTTGACAACCAATCAATACACATTTTAAAAGCACCTGCTATGCACTAGGCGCTATGCAAGGTGCTTGGGTTACAAAGACAAAAATGAAATGTTCCCTGCCCTCAAAGACTTCCTGTTGATTCTTCCAGGACCAACTCAAATGCTATCACCTCCCCCATGAAATTTTCCCTCAGCCCCTCAGCCAAAAATGATCCCTCCCTCATCTGACCCCTAACATTTTGTACCGCTCTTATGCACATTAGCACAGGACTAAATTTGTGGACATATTTAACCACCCTAACTAGACTGTAAGGCCTAAAGTCTCTGCTTTATTTGTATCTCCTCCAGTACCTAGCACAGTGCCAGAGGTAGCATGGTGCAGTGGTAAGAGTTTCTCTTTACATATTATAATTTATTTTAATGGGTAGGGATATATATGTTATATTTTCTCAGCAGAATTTAAGTTCCTTGAGGGCAGGGATTGCTTCATGTGTGCATTTGTATTCCCTAGTGCCTAGCTTAATGCCTGACACATAGTAGGCACTTAATAGTGGCATAGCTAATGATGGTTAATTTGAATCACTAGATTTAAAAGAGATTTGCCTTTGACATTATAGCTATATGACCATGAGTCAATCTCTTAGTCTTTCTCACCTCTCTGTAACATAGTTCGCTCCTCTGTAATATAGGAGTAATAATAGCTGCAATACCTCTCACTGTGTTGTTGTGTGGATCAAATGAGATAATATGTGTAAAGCATTTTACAAAATTTAAAATGCTATATAAATGTGAGCTATTATTATTGTATATACTGGGTATTTAATAAATGTAGAACAAATGCATTATAGAAGAAAACTATAGGGGACAAAAATCTTAATGGTTTTTTTTTTTCTTCTTTCCCTCTCCCTATCCCCTGCCAGGTTTAATAGGTCTCATAAGTGGTATTAAATACAACAAAACTCATTCCTTCCTGATATCTTGTTAAGTAAATGGAAACTGTGCATGCATATAGTAAAGGATGTAATTCTAACCATTGCTGCAGCTTCACACCAAACAAAACAAAACAAAACAAAACCCAACTGTCACATCATGTTGTTTAATTTTAGTGCTCTATGTTGGGTCATGCACCATGAACTAGGAATTCAGTGAAGAATCCAAAGCACTCCCTCTCCCCATAAGCAGCATTAGCCAAAGGTACCATCATAAAAAAGCTTATTTATAAGCAGCTCATTTGCAGTATGTAATTGGCAATTAAATTAAATTCTACTCTTTCCAAGGACAGATTTATGATCAGCCCATGATATAAATCTATAGGGTGGGATAAGAAAAGTAAGCAATTATAGATGTTCCACATTGGGGGGTAATCTCTTCCTTCTTAGTGAATGGGGAATCTTTTTGCACAAGAGAATTCAATGGGAGTAAACATCTTAAATGGATCAGTGGATTCCCGCTGTACAGATATCATAAAATCAACAAAATGCATGTAGACTCACTTTCTCAACAGGTCTCCCCTAAGGCCCCCCTGTTCGGTACAGTTTGTGGTATTTGCATGCTGAGCAGAATTAATATCAGCTGAAAGGGGGTGATTCCAGCTGGGGGAGGTGTTTATATTTGCTGAACTCCTGTCTTCCTTTTACAAGACCCTTCTCTTCACTCCTGCTGTTTCTCTCTCTCTCTCTCTCTCTCTCTCTCTCTCTCTCTCTCTCTCTCTCTCTCTCTCTCTCTGTGTGTGTCTCTCTCTCTTTCTCACTCTCAGTGGCAGTTTTGGCACTCAGCTTGTCATCAAATCACTGTGGTGAGGAGAGAGCCCAATGACAGCTTCACAGGGGACATCTCAGGACACCACAAGGCTACTACTGAGGAATCCACTGCTTTGGCTAGGTCAAACACTTCATCTGGGTTGCAGCAATTTCTCAGGGAGGAAACCTGTCATCTTTGTAGCCTCCTAGCTTAACTCTTCTTGCCAGCTAGATCTTATATTACTAGAACAAAAATTCTATAAAAATGTGAATATAACAAATTAAAAATTTCATTGATTGCTGAGATCTCACCATGTCTAATATTATACAAACTCAACAATATCCTTTCACTGGGGCTATTTTCTGATCTGCTCCTAGACTCATAATCCTTCCCCTCCCCTTATCCCAACCCTTGCTCAGAGACATGTAATCAAATCAAGATTGCCATCACTCGCTTGTCAATCAACTGCTAGACTATTCCACTCACTGTCTCTGACTCCTCAGATCAAAACATCCTTCCCTTGGCCATCACTTTCATATATGTATTATTTTGCTCAATTAGAATGTAAGCTTTATGAAGCCAGAAAAATTCCACTTTTGTCTGTTTCCCTTACACTTGGCATAAGTGCTAAATAAATGCTTTTAAGTTTATTCAAATTTTTTCTGACTTTCAGTGCCCATTTCCATTAAATGACTTGTCTAAGTTCACACAGGTAGATAGGAAGTGTCAGAAATGGGATATAAGCCCACATCCTCTAATAGCCATTGCCATTTCTACTGTACCATGCTGCCTCTATTAGTGGCCAGGATTCAGTTCTAGATTTCTCTACAATGGAGGCTGCCACAAAAGGCTTCTCCTTCTTGTTTAAAATTCTTAGTAATGAACTTCTCCTATATCATGAAATCATAGACTCTTAAATTTGGAAAGGATTTTGGAGGACATCTAGTTCAGAATTGCAAACTTGCTGTCCTGCTGGTAGCCTGCAAAACTCTTGAGTGTGGCCCAAAGCAGATTATAATATAGTTGGGAAATGTTTAACAAAAGAAATAAAAATGCAATGTCACATAGATGATGTTAATTTATGCTTTTGAAGTCAATATACACCCATAGGGATCCATTACTATTTGAGTTTGATACCACTGAATCTAGTCCAATCCCTACCAGATACAGGACTCCCTTCTACAACACACCCAATGAGTGTTCTTCTAGCCTTTGTTTGAATGGACTCCCAACTCCTTTGTGTGGATTTCATACCTCCTCCCAGGATATCTCTAGAACTCCAAAACATAGCAGCTGACCTACCCTATATGGGAGTCTCCCTAGCTATAAGCTTGTCTCTCTTGGTTACTTATCCCAAACCCTAGGACAGCTAGGCTTCTTAGTAGATAGACCTTGGGTGAACATTTGTTTTGCATGCTCTTTTCACTAAACAAAAGTGGTGGCTGGTGCTCTTTGTTTATCTTCTCCAAAAAGTTTTGTCAGGGAGGTAGTCATCCCTACCATCTCTGTCCCTACAAAGCTATTTCTAAGTGTAAACATTACATTTACTCAGTGGTCCACAGCAGGACCAGGACAATAGTGATTTACCTCCCTGGAAAATGTATCATTCACGTACATTTCCATGAGTACAAGCTCTGCAGCTTACTGCTTATGTGTCTTCAGAGGAGTTGTCGCATCTCCTGGAGCCCTAGTCTCCTCATCTTTAAAATGAGCTCTTTGGAATAAATGATCCCTAAGGTTCCTTCCTGTGCGAAATCCTATGATTAATGTGTGTGTGCCCTTTAGGGATGGAGAGAACAGTGCTCAGAAACATAAGGAACTGTTCCTTTTTAGTTCCTCCCTTTTTTCCATCTAAAAAGGCTGCTTTAAATTTCCTTTAAGGCACCTCTCATCTCTCTTGCTCCTTGTTTACACTATTCAATTGTTGAGTAATCCCTTTTCTCATATATACTTCAGAGCAAACTTCAACTTTACATTATTTCTTTCTCTTTGTAAGGTAGAGCACAGATGTTATCTAACTGCTTTCTACAAGATAATTCAAAAAGCTTTGTCCTGGGGGATACATTTTTATAAGAGTAAACTATACCAGGAGTTTGTCAAATTTGATGGTGGATACATTTTAATGGAGCCAAAAGGGGGCTACTGTAATTGCTTGATCTTCAATTTATTGCTCTGGACTCCCTCAGTAGTTCTGTTGGAGGGACTGTTTTGTGGATGGGGAAGAGTTCGGCTGTTAATGAAATTGTTTAATCCAGAAAGTTTAAAGCAAGTCAAAGGAAGAAACTGGGAAGGAGGCACAATCTAAGATGCTGACTCTCACAGTCTTTGCAAAATAAGAAAGGCTAATAAAGATTAAGAGGCTATGAATTAGTGAAGGTAGCTGCATGCATAATTTTCTCTCTGGACTACCCTGGGGTTATTTCCAGTTAATGATTATGAATCCAAATGGGCTAATTAGTGATGAGATCTAGTCCTAACATAGGCGTACAGCATTTATCCTCAGACTTGATCACTTCAGTGACCCACTGGGAGAGATCCTGACACCATTCTCCAATTTCTACATTGTGGTGAAAGTGGTAGGGTCAGTGGGATGCGGGAGGCAAGTAGGTGCCTTGGATGAACCAAGTCTTTGAACTTACTAGTGGAAGCAATGGTGGGGATGAGGGGGTAAAGAGGAGAGTTATAGGGAACAGCTTGTCTGTAGTATGACAATTGCATGGCAGTATTGGATGAGAATGGGCTTCTCCCCTCAGCTCTCTTGGATTAGGCCTATTAGAAAGGCAAGTAGGTAGCAGAGTGGATAGAACACTGGACTTGGAGTCAGGAAGACCAGAGTTCAAATCCATCCTTAGATACTTACTAGTTCTTAATCTCTGTTTGCCCCAGTTTCCTCATCTGTAAAATGAGGACAATAATAGCTATTGGGAAGATCAACTGAGGTAAGATCAAATGAGATAATAATTGTAAAGCACTTAGTGTAGTGCCTGGCACATAGTCAGTGCTATAGAAATGTTTGTTGTTGTTGTTGTTAAGTAAAGGA